CTTAATTATATTTACTTATTCACTCACAATAGCTAAGTACAGTAGCTAAGTGGTTTTGTACATTTGGTTTGCAGCTCTGGGGTTCAAATCTCACCTTGGACACTATTTTCATTGAATGTGTGTGTTCTCCATGTATCTAGCAGCTCTGTTTTCCTCCCTCACAAACATACAGGTACCTTGCTTTCTTTCTATAAACTATCTCTTGTATGTGAGTGTGGCAGGGACATTAAACAATGATCACCTCTGTAGAACTGATGTGAATGTTTCTATGTAGTAATTCTGGACAGGTTTGCACACAATCAGTGCAGTGCAGAACAATTTTGTTAAGTAGGGATGTGGGTCAAGTTTGCTGCTACCATTAGTCGGCATCAGATCCAGCAGGTGTGGAATTGACAGTTTCAGCTAATAAATATGGAAATATGCCAGGGCAAATTCTTTGTTATTATAACTCACTGCCTGACCTTTCAACTATTGTCAGTAGGGTTACAATGGCCAATAATGGGTACTTTGTCATATGCCAGCTTCCTCGCTATAAAATAATGGGTTCTGAGTAGTCATTTGTTAGTGTGGTCAGTGTCTGTTGGAGTCAATTTGGGAGAGATGACAATCTGTGTAGCGAGTGTTAGTTGCTACAGTATATGCTGATATACTATGCTATATTGTGCTAAATTACTGTAGATCATCCTTCCACCTTCCTCCATCGAAGAGGTAAGTTTCATTTTTTTTCTTTCTATGGCATTTTTTATTCCAGGGTCCACATAGTATAGAACTAGATTAGTGCTGCTCCAGGCAGGGGACACAATAAAAGGACCCTCTCCTCGCTGTAAATATCCCCAGTGGCAGTACCCAGCTCCCCATTCCCTTTTTTGAAAATAGTTTGCCTATTAGCTGGATCCCCCTGCCCACTGGCTTCAGTGATATTTGTTACTAAGTTCAAGTTCACCCAAACTTGAACGAGTTGTGCCAAACCTTCAGTGAATTGAACCCGAACAGATTCCCCCATCTCTAGTGTTAGGGGGCTTAAAGACTCACTAGAGTTACAATCTCAAACTCTCAAGTCACGACTGCTTATGATAGAGTTAGCATGCCATATAGCTTGAATTAAAAAAAATGCATTTCAAATAATGCATTGTAATTATATCATCAAGCATTTATCACCAACATTATGTGTACAGAATTAAATGGCTTCTATGAATGGAGGACGGGTGGATGATTGAATGGTCTGCCCCTTTTTAAATCGATAAATTTAGTTTCATTCTTAGAAGCTGTAGTACAGATCCTATGAATGAAGCAGTTGGGACAAAGGGTGGGCAAAGATAGCCTCTATTAAATGAAAGCGTGTGTGACAGATTCTTAGTTGTTTACCCCCACCATACTGGGACATTAATGTAGTGTACCATGGGTTGCAGGAAAGAAAATTGCTTGATTCCCCCAGCAACACTGTCAATGTTGATGGGGGAATCCCTGTGGCAGAGCTATTGTGTTCTCCTGGTGGGTGGTGTAAGGAACCGTCCCTACTGGGAGAACACAGTGATTATTGACAGCAGCTATAGCCACTGGCAATAATCACATTTAAATATCAGACATGCTGGTTGTACCCAAGTCGTACAACAATTGAATTGGGTACAATCAGCCTGCCCATAGATGAGTGATTTGAATCTCGGTTGGTCCCTGCTGAACGTGCTGAGAATCAAACCATCTATGTCCGGCTTAAAGCAATGTTTAAAATTTATGGATATTTAGTAACATTAATTTAACAGAACAAAGATGACAGTTATAAACCAGTTTCAGGATACAGGAGACTTTATTTATTAGTTGTTGACTATTTTGTTTTAAATTTTACATAAAATGGAGTATATATTTTACCATGTAAACAGATTATGATATATATGTAGGATAGGATACATAAGAGTTGTGCTTAAGTGAATGTGCTTATGTTTTTTTAATTTTACATTTGTGGGTGTGTTTTGCACTAGAGTGGCATTTGCAAGGGAATATCTTTTTATTTTTGAATTTTTTAAAAGAAATTCATTATTTTTAAGAAGTAGCATGAATTTTTGGTTATAAAATGTTACGTAGTTTTCTGTGACTATATCTAGCTAGTAGGTGGAATTTTAGGCTCCTTAACATGTTTTCTTTTGTTTGCATACCACCTGCTGTGAAACGTTGGTTGTTTACAGCTCTAAGTAGTTCAAACTGAACTTAAAGCAGGATTAAACTCAGAAACAAAAATAATTATATTGTAGCTTACCAGTCCTAAAATCTGGTGATTGGATTGATTTTTAAATTATTTTATTTTCCTTTATTTTCTCCCAGTGATCCAACTAGTAAGTCTGTTTTTTTAACTTGCTTTATGCTGTCCAGCAAAAGTGGCAGTTAGTGTTGAGACAAACAATTTAGCACTGATGGAGTGCATACAATGGTCAGCTTTTATTCATTTATGTAAAACCTATCCCAAAAGGAAACAAACTGTTGCTGTACCCACTTAAAAAGCAGTAGCTTTAATGAGATTTTAAGTTGTTAGTCAAGTCCATCTACAGAACATCTGCTACTACATCTAACACTACAGTCTCCTCAGATTGACAATACTGCTGTCTAAAGGTGTCTTTGCTACTGCTCTATCCAGAGCAGAGACACCCTAAGACAGGAAGTGTGTTACTTGCTGGATCATCCGGCAAAAATAAAAGGAAAAAAAAGCCTAAAAAAATCGAATGCAGACACCACCTTTAAGGTTTGTTAAGCTGCAATTTATTACATGTTTTGATTCTGGGTTTAAAGTGTACTTTACCCCAACATTTCATATTTCTGATATATGTTGGTTGTACCAGTACTTGTGTGTACACAGCTAATTATTGTATTGGGAAGAAAGAGTGTACTACTGTTTCTCTGCCTGCTGCTGACATGGCCCATTGCAATCTGCACTCCCAGCTCTCTAAGCCCCTTATGCAGCTCATAACAGAGGTCATGTGATCACTTATAAAAAATGATTTTTTTTTTTAAACGTTTTGCTTTGCATTTCTATTTTAAACCAATGAGTTGTTTTACAAGGTAAGGATTCATATATACGGTAATAGTGCGAGTGAGTGACTCAGTCCCTATCGAACAATCACTCAAGCTATGCCTTGAAGCATGCTGCTTTGCTGTGCTGTTTCTTGAGCTCAACCATGGTGAGAGAATCTTTTGTTATGTAATAAATATTTATTTGCAATACAAATGTGTAGCTTGTAAAATTAAATTAGTATTCATATAGTAAAAAGAAAGTTGAAAAACACACTTTATAAAAGTATAAATTTTAATAATAAATAAGTAAATAAAAATGACTCAAAGCCTTATAATTTCCTTTTCACATGAAAAAGAGAGTAGGGATAATGCATAGCAATTTTTGAAAAATAGAGAACATGAAGACAACATTTGGAAAGAAATGTATTTTTGAAGTGGTATAATATTTTTTATTTTTATACTCTAATGTAACTGGAGTCACAGGATTTCACTATTTTCAACAGCTTCAGTGAGGTATGTGTCTCCATGATGAGACAGCAATCAATTCATGTATGACAGGTGCATTAAAGACCTGTCTTGGTATCACAGGGACATACTGAGCTGTCACTGCTGACAAATGACACTTATCATACTCTATGCTGCTTAACCCAAAGCAGTATATCAATTAGCCAGACATTTATGCCCCCAGCAAAGGTTAATGTGTGTCACGTTTGTTACTAACTCCACAACTAAATAATTAATATGGTCCACAACAAGAATTAATTGTTTCATTTTTTTTAATCTAATGGATTACAAAGAAGTAATATCAAATACTAAAGACAATTAGAAGTCTAACTTTGCTTGCTACAGGCACTTTTGGTGAAATCATTAAAACTGTGGTGGCCTTTGACATCCAATTAATACATTTTAAAATATGTGAACCTGCCAAGACAGAAAAGTCTTTAAAATTTTTTCAGAAAAAAAAATATTTCTGCTTAAAACAAAGAAAATGTATTACTGAACAAATCGTTACTGCAAGGTATTTTGGATAGATGTAAACTTTGACCCCATTGTACAGTATGTGAAAGTGATTTAGGACATTTTTTTTCTAGAAATGAATAAAGAGACTATAGCTTTAGCCTAATCTAGATATTTGTAAGAGCGCTAGGGCTGATTTACAAAAAGAGCAGGCAATTCACTTAGCCCAATGACATTATGTTTTCTTCAAATATCATACATGTGCAAGGAAATATTAAAAAAAAAGGATTTTCCCAAACATAAACGTCTCTGGGCTACATTCACATTTTATATTTTATACGATTACTTCATGCTAATTACTGCAAACTTTTATTTCACAAGCATAAGGCCCAATATTCAATATGGACTTCTACTCCTGGTAAGTGCAAAGTTTAAGCAGTCTGTTCAAGACAAGTGGAGTTAGTGTTACGCTCTGTCTATGGAGATAAAGGTTCTCCCTACCCCACAAACATGAATTCCTTTCACTTGTCTGGACTCACTTAGCTGTTTATCTGAAAAGATGCCTCTCTTAACAATCCTGTGTGCCTCCTAATGCTCTCTGGGGCTGTCAGTCAGGAATCCTCAGTCATCCTCACACTCACTAACAATCACACGGTATACCATCTCCAAGTAGCAGCTTTTTTAATAGACTGTAATGCAGCAGACACAAGACAAACTCACCAGATTCTTTATATATATAATATCAGTAAAAAGATCAGGTCCTGAGCATGTAGGCCCCTTACACGATAATTCGGAGTGGTCATTGGGGACAAAGAAGAGGCAAATGTATTATTTAGAGATGAGCGAAGTATTCAAAAATTCGATTCGACTGATTCGGCGAATTCGTGGAAAAATTTTCGATTCGAGTCGAATATATTCGCTGCGAATTTAACTTATAAAAGGGTGTTTCTAGGCTTCAGAGAGCCTTTATATTAGTGCAGAACACTGTACCTTTAATTAAATGCCCTTGGAGTCTGCTGGGGAAGAGAAATAATACTGACAGTCAGTATGACATGCAGATGAGTGCCGTCGATCTTAGAATCACCGCACACTTCACTCATTTGGGCAGTCACGGGGCCAAAACCAGAGTGTGGAGCCACAGTGTGGCGGTGGAGGCAGCAGCATGGGAGGCCATACAGTACCCTATGACAAAATGGAAACCACCAGCAGTGTGAGGAGACCTGAAAGTGGCACATGGCAGAGTGTGGCGATGGAGACAGCAGCAATGGGAGGCCGTACAGTGACCCAGACACACTCTGGAACTGGCAGCAGCATGAAGGAGGCGGTACAGGGGCCCCATTACAGCTAACGGGCCTGGCAGCAGCATGAGGAGTATCGGTACAGGGGCCCATCGACCACACTCTGACCTGGCATCAGCAAGAGGAGGCCGTACAGGGGCGCATGACAGATACGAGCCTGGCAGCACAACTTTGACAGGAGACGTTCAGCTTCTGCACTGAGGTCCGGCGAGCTCTCAAACTGTTGTCTCTTGGAAACGTATTCCAAGAAAGACTGAGCTGACGAATCCGTGAAGAGGAGTAGCAGAGAAGGAGCATCTGAACGAGCGGAATATGCCAACAAGCGACAACAGGCCATGACAGATTACGTGCCTGGCAGCAGCATATGAGTCGGTACGGGGGGCCCATGGCAAGATTAGGGGCCTGGCAGCACTAAGGAGCCGTAATCTGCCAGCACCCTAATACAAAAAATGGAACCCACCAGCAGTGTGAGGGCCCGAAAGTGGCACATGGGATGAGACTTGTGGGCCTTGGCGCGCATGAGGAGACGGTACGGGGCCCCTGGCAGATTAGGGGCCGGCAGGCTATGGGGGGCCGTAATTGCCCACCCCTGACAAAAAAAGGAAACACCAGCAGGTGAGGAGACCGAAAGTGGGGACATGGCAGAGTGTGGGATGGGACAGCAGCAATGGGAGGGCCCTACGGGACCCCGAGAGACTCTGATTGGCGCAGATGAGGGGGCGGTATAGGGGCCATGGCCTTTTGGGGCCTGGGAGCGTATGGAGGCCGTAATTGCCGACCCATGACAAAAAATGGAAAAACACCGCAGTGTGAGGGACCTGAAAAATGGCACTGGGAAGTGTGGGAGGAGAAGAGCTTGGGAGGGCCCTAAGGG